GGAAGTTTCGAATTGTTATAGGTGTATGGTAGAGTGAAAAATATTCTTAGGTGGGCTTTAGTGAAATTTTCCCTAAAATTTATTTCATTGTTGGTTTATTAAAGTTGTGTTTGGTTTGAAGGAAAAAGTAGGAAAAGGAAGGGAAAAGTAGGGAAACCTTGTACTTTTCCCTACCTCCTTCAAACCAAACATAGCTTGAGAGAATGTTTCCAATGTAAATTGTTTTTATGCAATAGTTGCAGGTTTCAAAAACAAAATAAAACCAGCTGATTTGAAACAAACTTATTCTTGAGATAGAGACACAGAAAATATAGTTTGTTTTTTTTTTTTTTTACCAAAAGTGAAATAAAAAAAATGTGTTCTTGAATTTATGATTTAAAGAACATGTTTTCATCTGATTATTTAATATCATGTTCTAAAAATTATATAATCTATACACTGAAAATTTTGTTTTTGTTTTGATGATTTCAAAAAAATGTTAAAGCCAACTTGTTTTTACTTTTCAAAACAAAGACATAGTTTAAGAACTTTTTACTTTTTGTTTTTCTTTGTTTTGTTTTGTTTTGCTGATGTGGCAATTTAAAAAAAAATATTTTTGTTACATTTTGTTCATGAAATACAACACAAGTCCTTTTTAGTTCATTTTATTAATAATGTATCATATTTTGGTCATTTTTAATTTAATTAATTCAAAACAAATTTGAATATAAATCTAATGAATAAGATCTTATTGGAATTTGAATGTGAAGAAATCAAATTTGGATCTACCTATAACTGATATTCCAATTTGATTCAAATCGATCTGTTTACAACTCTAAAAAGCCCTAAGAAATTGAGAGTAGTTATGGTAGGGCTATCAATGGACTTTGAAACTCCGATTTGACTCYAGATCTGATTATCCTAGATTTGGATGTTAGAACTTGCATTCAATTAATAATTGGATCGGATACAAATTTAACCCCATCTGATTTGATTAACAATCCAAGTCTAATAAAAATTTATTATTTTATGTATATGTAGTATAATTATGTATAATCATATAAAGTTTATAATTGATAAATTTAATATTATTTGTTTTATGTACATTTATTATACATATCTAAATTAAAAATAATTAATTTTTTATATTTTTTGGTCATTTTAAACACAATAAAATAATTGTAAATTAAATCCAAATCCAATTCAAAATCCAACATAATAATCATGTCGATACGGGTATAAAGGTTTCATGAGTGGATGTGGATACAGATATAGATCTGAATTCAATTCGTTTACAGATAAATTATGGTTAATCATGTATATAAGAGTTTAAAATGCTTAACCTGTTTAATCAATCCTTCACCTACCCAAAAAGGAACTGTATTACCAACTCTCTCTCATTTCGGCATTCCGCTGGGAAATCTTGACCAGGTTTTCTCACATTGCACCAATGGCGATCAGATTCAGTTCAATCTTTTAATTTTTCTAGCTCCTCTCTTTACCCTAAATTTCCACTTTACATTTTATATACCTTTCAGCGTTTTATATTATTATATTTACTTTCTATTGACTCATAAGCAAACTGGACCAAGTAATTAATCCCCTGAATTCAGTTTTTGGGTTTTGAAAGAGTTTGTCGATTCATTTTATTTTATTTTCTTTAGGGTTTTAGTCAGAGCAATCATAAATTGTTAATAATACATGTAACTTCCAGTTAACAAACACCGCAAGCGTTAATGTACAAAATTTATACTTTTAGGCCCCGTTTGGTTCGTGGGAATAGGGGTTTGAATCGGAACCGGAATGGGCTATTCCGATTCTAATTGTTTGGTTGAATGGAATTTGAATCTCATTTTCATTTCTGCTGGAATGGCATTCCCCCATTTGAGAGAATGGTCATTCTCTGCCTCTTCCTTGAGAATAAAATCCTATTCCTATTGATTTTAATTTCCATTCCCATTTCTGTCTGAACCAAATAGACTATGGGAATGGACCATTCTGATTTCGACTGCGAATCAAACGGATCCTTAGTCTCATTTACAATGTTTCGAACTGTTGTTGATTCTGACGTTCAGACCATTCGGCTCAGGAATCGTCTAGACAGTGGGTTTTGTTTCACCCTTAATCCATTCTTTGGCCAAAAACCATTGACTTGGTCAGCATCCAGTTGGTCTTGGCAGTCGAAACGTCGACCCGTTCAACATAGACAATGATTTTTGACCTTTTTTATTTTAATTATTTTTTTAAATTAAAACGGATCATGCATTCAAACCAGATGGTCAAACTGCTGATCCAAAAAACTGGTGGTCAAAGCAATTCTGGTTCCGAATCAGTTTTTAAAACATTGCTCATTTGCACTTTCTTATAATGCAAACTTTGTACCTCAAAAATGAATTCGACTATAATACCGAAAAGACATGATATCAGAAGAAAATTAAAGCCAACCAACCAGAAGAACTTATACTCAACCAATCTACATTCCCATGCATTTACACCAGTGAGAATGAAATAATTCACACCGCAATCAAACTAAACCTCATATATTAACCAAGATATTATTTTTAAATTACTTTGTTAATGAAAGTAAGTAATTTTATGAAATTACTAATAAATAACAACAAAGAAGAAGAAAAGGCAGGAGCAGCCTAAAAAACCTAGCTCCTTGTTGGCTTCATACGGAGTAGGCTTGACTCCAGCACATTCATTATTCAATGTTCAAACAGGTGGTACCAAAGACACACCATACATTGCTTAGTTTTCTGTTCGTTTGTCCTTTACAGAGTTGAGTCCCACCGCCCCACGTACACTTGCACCATGTGTTTCTAACATTTCCTTTATATGAATAYAGTAGATGAGAAAGACAGCTCTCTAATGCTCATGCTCATGAAGCAATACACCTTTGGACTGAAATTTATTACAGATTCAGAGGCTCTTTCTCTCTCTCTCTCAGATACACACACAAACCCCTTCTGAAGCAAGTTTCTGGGTCAGTCAAAATTTGAACAAATGTTGGAAAGAAACACCACTACTGGACTGAAATTTATTAAACATCTAGAACTTAGAAGACGTCTCTCTCTCTCTCAGAGAGACACATACACACAAACCCCTTGTGAAGCAAGTTTCTGGGTCAGTCAAAATTTGAACAAATGTTGGAAAGAAACACCACTATTGGACTGAAATTTATTAAACATGTAGAACTTAGAAGACGTCTCTCCCTCTCTCTCAGAGAGACACATACACACAAGCCCCTTGTGAAGAAAGTTTCTGGGTCAGTCAAAATTTGAACAAATGTTGGAAAGAAGAGATACTTTTATCTTCAAACTCAAGCAACAAATGAAGCCCAACATGATCTTTTCCTTGCAACTTCTTCCCCCTCATCTTAACCTTTTGACAAAACACAAAACTCAATTTCTTCACCAACAAGAATTTCCCTTGCACCTTTTCTCATTTATGTCAAATTATTTGTTCTTGTCACTGCAAATTGCAACTAAGACACCCAGAATTTGCGAGGCAATTTGTCCATTACTTGTTGCAACTTGTTGACTTGTTAAATATATATATTTTTCTATACAAGTGCTTGACATTTGACATAGGAATAGATGATTAATTGAACTGTAATAACACCCTAGTGCCAATACCTAAAGTTCTATACCTATACTCAATCATGTTTCTAAAAAGGTTTGTGACCTCAAATCTTCAACATTTAAAATTTGGATTTGTTCCTCACAGAATGCACCTCACACCAACCTCACAACACGTTGCAGCCATGCATTAGAGATATCTCCCATGAATGATACTTTATAAATAGGGTACGGAGATGTTGGCTGCAATGTACTACTGTAAGGTTGGTGTGAGACGTGTAACAAATCCATAACTAGGGTTAGCCACCTAGTAGCCCCAAGTGACCAATCTATAAAGTCAACCCCTTAAAATATCAGATTTAATTGCTTTTGTATAAACACCAACTGACCTTCACAAGTCATAACTCAATCGTACCTACCCAGAAAGCTAAGCATTTTTAAATAATTTTAGGGAGTGTTATTTTTCTGTTCTGAGTTCCAAAACAAAACCAACTGGATTAAAAATCAATTGTACCTTGAAAGAAAACGATGTGCTTCATTATTTACCTGGCTCAATTGCGTATTCAGAGTTTTCACCAATTGATACATTTTTTTTTCTTTATGCAATTTGATAAATTTACAGATAGATATAATAGGCCTTCATTTAGAAATGCTGATTGGAAAAATACATGCTTATTGATAAATGTTTATCCTGTTTATGAGTGTATGGTGAAAAAACACTTTTTTTCAAATGAGATAGTATAGAAACGCAATAAGCACTTATTGAAAAAGTGCTTATTGAGAAACGCAATGTAATTCTGAAAATTACATGATGGGCCAGAAACGCAATAAGCACTTACTGAAAAAGTGCTTAGAAATAAGTCAAAATTTTTTATTTCTTCAAAACAGGCTTATTTTCTGTAATAAGCATTTATTTGGCTTTTTCTCTAAATGCACATAAGTGCTTATTGGTGTGGCCCTGGCCTAACTCTTTTGGAGACCCTGAAAACTCTGCTACACAACGGAAGGTAGTCCACCTCCCTCCCTTTAGCCAGTGACTAGTGACCCTGAAAACTGATACATATTGTACATATCGATACATTGAACCATGTTATATACATGTTCTTTTTTTTTTCCAAAAAAGAAACCAATATATGTGCTCCTGAATTTCTTGTCTAAAGAATATATTTCCATGTCATTATTTACTATCACATTCCAGAATCATATAATTTCCATGCTAAAAAATTGTGTTTTTTGTTACAAAAACCATTATTTTAATGGTTTTATAAACTGAATTTTTTGGAATAAAACCAATTTGCTTTTGCTTTTCAATTTTCAACACAAGAACTGTCTATTTATTTTTTTCGCCTGATATGATAATTCCAAGAACAGATGAAACAAAAATGGTCATGCTATATAAGGCATCCTTTGTTTATAACCACAGTGTCTATACCCATAATGTTAAAAGTTCAATGAAAGGAATTTTTTGAGAATTAAAGAGATGATGGAGTTGTGCTTCAGTATGAGATGACAATTCCTTTTCTCCATAGTCCTTGACTTACAAACCCAAGCCAAGAAGCAAGAAGTGCAAAGGATACCACATGCAGGCCACCTTCACAGAATCACAGCTAATGTTTATGACCCCCTAAACCCGGCAGTGAATTTTTCTCTTTCTTTAACCAGTATTTAGTACTATGATGGAAAGTGAAACCAAACAAATTACTGGCTTCTAATTACAAAAAATGCATGATAGTTTTCAAAACACTAAACAGCACAAATAACATCTATAAAAAAAAAACACAAATAACCAACCGAAACGCCATCAATATCATAGAAGGTGCTACTCTTCAACAGGGTCCTGACTAGCCCCTAGGCCCCCTACAGGGGAATCATAATAATCATATTCATCATCCTCGTCACGATCTTCCATGGTTTTCCCAAAAATAAATGGTTTTGTTCCCATTGTAGTAAAAGGCATGAGGCCAAGAGCTCGGGCTGTTTTGATCTCTCTAGCTACCTTCCTCTGGGCTTTGGCACTAATTTTTGTCTACAGGTGGAGAAAAATTATTAGGGAATGATTCAAAATTAATTAGAGGAAATATTACAAATTTCATTAAAGACAATTTTTGAACTTGCACTTCCTCACCTTGCTCCTTTTGATAATAAGTCCTGCTTCTGTAAGGAAGTTGGCAAGGAATCTCACATTCTGCATGAAATCATTAGGTTTAGTGACTTTTTTGCAAGATGTCCCAGAAGTTCATTGGGAGAAACAAGCAATCTTGCAGTAAGAGGAAATGAATTTGGGGATCAGGATAGTGAAAAATTACAATTTCTAAAGGATTGCCTGAATTAACAGTCAAAAGCATGCAATTCTATGAGAATATCTAAAGCTGTGTAGGAACCCAATTACAATAAACAATTAATATAATTGAAGTAGAAGAATAAAACAGCCTGTGTATCTGCAGGGTTAAGGCTTCCTACATCTGTCCCTCCCCAGACCCTGCATTTGTGGGAGCCTTGTGCACTGGGCTGCCTCTTTTTTTTTTTTTTTGCTGCAAAAGCAAGAAATTACATCCTAATTCACTCGTTTGGGGAAGAGGGAATGGAAAATTTTGAAATTTGATACAGAAGCCAAGAAAGGGGACTTCTTTCAATCTGCACTAAAATTGCACCCACCTATATTTTGGAATATTTTGCAAGCACAGTGAGTTTCAAGGCGCTAGGTACCATTTCACACATTTTTTTATGAATACCATTTCACACAATGGAATCCTCAAATACAGAATTTCTATACACCAAGTTCTTCTCTTCATGCCCTGTAACCATTTATGCTCACCAAAATACTAGTGACCCTTATTTATGCTCATCAAAACACTAATGTCCCCTATTTATGGATCTTGAGTTCAGCATAGAAATTGGATCAGCAATGTGGAAACTAAAAAAAAAACAAGCATATTTGCTTTCTGCTGTCTCAACAATTCCAAAAACATTAAAAAAGACATGTTCTCATCTGTAGAATACCAACCAAAGGACCTTAACCTATAAATATACTAAATGGCCGCAAGGAACAAAGTTAATTTTTAATAAAGTGCTCACACAGGGAGTGGGGGATCAGGGGGATCAAGTTGGCATAATTTCTTGGTTATGCTCATCTAATAGACTGTCTATTGAGATATTGCAAATATATGTTAATGGCGATTCACCACTTATGCAGGATAGAACTTTTAAGGGAGATGGAGATACCCTAATTTTGGCATGTTAAAGAGAAGGTAGATCTACAAAAGTTAAGTATTGTTCTAGGCATCACACCTAGAAGGAGGAAAGTAACCTAGATTCCCTATGGTTTCTAAGAATCAATCCTGGAGATAAGCATTATAACTTCAAATGAGTTTAGAGAATTCTTGTTCAAAGTAAACAGACAATACTTTGTTTATTACATCGAAAAAACATGGTATATGAATATATAGAGTTGGATAGAGAAATTTCTTCTTAAGCAAGTAACTTGTTCCTTCGGCTACCTGTCACCAGACTCATTGTACCTTGTAAATATTACCTACCCAACACCTGCTTGTCACTTAGAGATGATAACATGTACATTCACTACCTTGTCCCCTACTTGGAGATAATAGATTTATGATCAACTCTTAAGTATCAACTTACTTCTCTTTATATACTGATGGATCCTTTCAAACTGAAACAAGGAATGCAGCTACAGGTTTTTTTATTCTGGGTAGTACTAATAATGTTGTTTATGCAGCAAGTCGATGTGTCAAAGCATCTGGATCTCTACAGGCTGAATGGTGGGCCCTCCTGGATGGACTGAAGCAAGCAGTACAGATGCAGATAAAAATAAAATCGCTTGCTGTTTTTTCTGATTCTGCTAAAGTTGTTGATGGTTTCTACTGTGAAGAGGAAGATTGGACTATCGAGCCTCTTAGAGAGGAAATATGGAATCTGACCAAGTTTTTTTGACATTATACGTATAAACCATATTAGCAGAACTTTGAATTTAAAAGTCCACGAACAAGCCTATGATGCTTGTAAATATAACCATATAGTGTGTGAACAGGGGATGCCCTGGAACTCCTGTAATTATGCTTTGAATGAATGAAGTTCCTCCGCTTTGCTTTTTTGAAATGAAAAAAAAAAACTTCAACTCAGCCTTAATCCCAACTATTTCATGTCTGCTACACAAATCTTGTCCCATCATTGTGTTCTATAAAGAACCTTTTTTTATAAATCCATAACAAAACATTTTTTAGGGGCCATTACATAATGTAATGGTAAAATCTCGTGCTGAAAAGCATGAGAACATGGGTTTGAATCTGAGTAATGACCTTTTTTTATTAAGAACCATTTTTCTGTCAAATTATAAACCCTTGCTCAGTTATCACCGCACCCAAGCATTGTTTTGTAATTAAAAAAAAAAGAGGGATAGAACCTGAACTCTAAATGGCAAACTACTAAGTTGTCCTCGTATTCAAACAACCCTAAACAAAAGACAAAACATTAACACATTCTTATGATATGAACAATGTAGTAGCTAAATAAAATAGAAACACCAATATGGATAGCCCAACTAATCTAGTAGCTATAACTATTGGAAGTCTATTTGGGTTTGGTTAACTGCAGCAACTGCACCCTGAAAAGCACATAAGGGAATCAAAGGAAGCTTATACATGCCCTACAAATAAATGCCTATCAATCTCAAAGCTGCTCCTTGCTTCTTCTCCTTTTTTGTGGCTGCATCAACCACTTAAATAGGCAATGTAAATGCACTAAAATTCATTGTTGAATGCAATTGGAGATTGGAAGGAAAAGAAAAAAAGCTGGCAATGTTCTCCATCACATAGGGACTTCACATAGTTCTTTAGGAATCAATTCAAATTATGCAAAATGAGAAAATCCCTACCCGAAAATCAGCTTTCCTAAGTACTTCCTCTGTTGTGGTTTCAAATTGAGACCTTTTGAAAGGCTTGGGAACTCCAGGCCTTGTAAGATCAAGATCCTGCATAAAAGAAAAGTTTATACATCAGCAGCATAAGAAGGAAGTGAAAGATGTTTCTTTTTTCCCTTAATGAATTTTATCTTTATTGCCAAAAGGGAAAAAAAAAGAATAGTGAGAGAAAATGATAGAAAAAGCAACTTTACATGCTAAGTACAAAAATTGATAGCATGCAAGATATACCCTATTCTACAAGCATTCTACTAGTGAACATGGTCTGTGATATGATTCTGGAATTCACCAGCACAGCAACTTTTGATTAAAACAATAAAACTGCACAAGTCCAAAGGATAATTGTAGATGACAACATAAAAAGGATACGGTTATTTTTGGTAGCAAATAAAAGAAAAAATTTATTGAGATAAAACAAGAAAAGTACAAGACAGGTGATAAGATATTACCCAACAAAGCCAAGTCTCAAAGGCTCATAGCCTGGATTTTGGCAGGGAAGCTTACAAGGCTAGCATCTGATATCAATATCCATCATCTACTTTGGAAATAATTGGTCAACCATGTAATCCATAGTCTTAATCAACATGGTAATAAGCATCCTTGAGATCAATCTTGTAACATTCTTGTGTTAATGCACTCACTATGGGATTTCCTAAACTGCTTATCAACAATACCTTGACTAAGAGCACAAAATAAACTAAAAATGCCACCAATGAAGACTCTCTGAGCAACTCCATTCGGTCTTCATGCATATACAAACACAAAGGTACTGCAATGGATAAAGGAACCAAACAAAATACATTGTGGAAGTGGCCCAGAGCCAGGAAGCATAGACATGCCAAACGGGTTATTGTAGGGTCTGTCATTACCTTAACAAGAATTCCTTGCACTATTTTATTTTTTTGATAATGATAAGTAACATTTTAATTGCATTAGAAAGAATCTCTTAACTGCTTCACAAAGTAAGAAGTAGGCTAAAGTAGGTGCAACGCCAACTCATATATGAAAGTGAAACAAATCAGACAGCAATCAATGTCCCCAGTGATCCCCACTCCATATGGTCCCTTACTGAGTTACTGCCCCTGTTCTTGCTAATGAATCAGCCAAATTATTTGCATTTCTAGGTACCCATTTGAATGAGTTATTCAAACTGCTACCTAGGACTTGTGACTAACTAAAGGCCTGAAAATCCATGGAATGCCTTCTGGTTTCTTAATCCAATAAATTATAGTTTGGCAGTCTCCCACCACCTTCTCTCTCATACCATTCATACTCATAGAAATCGTTGCACATTTTAACATGTGGATGCATGGTTGTATGTGTATATATTATGGGTGGAGTGTCAGACAATGGTGTGATAAGGCTACAGAAGTTCGTCAATCAGACAGAATTGCTCCATCATCCCCTTCTCAAGGATATGATAGGTGCAATGATGCAAGGTGTCCCAACCAGAAATGCAAAGGTGTAAACCTCCCAAGCATGGATTTTTAATTAATAAATAATTAAAGCAAATAAATAAATATAGTAAATATCCCATAAATATGAAAAATTAGAAAGCTTAACCACCAATTTTCAATATATAATTTAAGTATAAGCACAAAGTATCACAATCCATAATTATTTAAATATCATCAGCTACTGATAGTCTCATACATCACTTGCAAAGTTCAAATAAAATTTCAGAATCAACAATTCACATAATTTGCATAATACTAATAAAACTAGTATCATCTTTTATAAATATGGAATGGACAAACATGGCAAGTTTCAACACTTCAAGGAAATATAAGAGAAACAACACTGTAGCAGCTAAAGAAGTTAGGCTAATCTTTTTCTTATTTTTTAGTTCCCCAAGGATATTGAGTCATTAAAGTACCTTAACATCATATGTCATCCCAGGTCTAAAAGTCACATCAGCTCTGAATGAATAGTCATCACCTGTTATCTCATCAGGATTAAATTCAAAGTATGTGGCAGCTTTCTTCAGCTTCCCATCCATACCATCTGACAATGTATTGAAACTTTCATCTAGACCATCAAAAAACTCTGAATTATTGCTTCCACCCTTAGAGCCAAAACCAGATCTTCCATGAGCCTTTTCAAGTCTATCAAGTTTCTGGAAGAATGCATCATTGTTTGACCTACTGTCAGAAAATCCACTGAATATACGCCTCTCAAAATCATCAGCTGACTCAAAGGAATTTCCGGTCCCATTGTCATTAATCTCATTACCTGTTTAAGATCCAAGGCACAATAAGTAGAATGATGAATTTCCATGTAAAGTTACCAAGAGAAACTGGAAAAACAGCTGCTTCAGAAATATTTCACATGATGCAATCAGCACAACAAGAATCATAATTCTGGCTAATGTTTCAAAATATGGAGGCATGATGCAAGGCATTTCATTTCCTGGAGGCATTGGGTGTAGTTTAGAACATAAGAGATATAAACCTCCTTAAGAGGAAGGGGATGAGGAGGAAGAAGAGGAAGGAGGATCTCATCCCTTTTCTGGTTTCTTTTTTCATGAAAGATGTCTTGTGTTAAGAAGAACGAAGATGCATAACACTGCATTTAAAAGTTAAAAGGTGGGGGGGTCTGAGCGCAGAGTCCCCAACTTTCATTCCTTTCTCTTTCCTTCCCCTCCCTTTCCTTTTCTTTTCTTTCTTTTCTCTTTTTTCCTTCTCTTCTCTTTCTTTCTTTCCCTTCCCTTCCATTTCCTTTTCTTTCTTTTGTCTTTTTGGTATGAGGCACATGAGCATCTCTGGCCTACGTCTTAGGGCATTTTGGGGGTGCCTTGCCTGGAGCTGCGCCTCCAGGCATATGCCTCCATTGCCTTTTAAAACACTGATTCTGGCTTGTAGATATTGTTAGGAATTATAACTTATAAGCAAGTAGAACAAAGATGACATGAAGTCTTGGGCATCAAGATATTCAGTTAAGCATTACTCTATCAATAATCAAATAAAAATAAGTTGAAACAGATGTGAATCAGTCCTCTAAAACTGATATAAACTTGGTTAAAATTAGAAAGAAAAGAAGAAAAGTAGAGGACAGCAGTACAAAGGAAGAAGAGGAAGAAGAAGAAGAGTTTGATAATCTCCTCTCTCCCCTCTCTAATCCTTTTGTTAGTCTCCATTCATTGGGCTAATTACAAGTATGCCCTTAAGTGGGCGGCCAGGTAAGCAGAAACTTAAAGTAAGCTTACAAAAGAAATAACAGGCCCATTAACAAACAAAATAAATAACACACTACAAGAATAGATACTAGGGCCCATTCGGCCCAGTCTCTCTACACACCCCCTCAAGCTGAGCATAGATGTCAATCATGCCCAGCTTGCTTTTATAGTGTGTCAACTTCCCTCTTGGAACTCCCTTAGTCAAAACATCAGCCAACTGTTCTTCTAAGGCAATAAATGGCAAGCAAACTTCTCCTAAGGAAACTCTTTCCCATATAAAATGTCTATCAACCTCAATGTGCTTAGTTCTGTCATGTTGAATAGGATTATGTGCAATATTGATAGCTGTCTGGTTGTCACGATAGAGCATCATTGGCTTTTCATAGTCAACCCCCAATTCTTCTAAAAGTGATCGCAGCCACAGTAATTCTGACACACTATGTGCCATTGCCCTGTATTTTGCTTCAGCAGAGGATCTGGCAATTATAAGTTGTTCCTTACTCCATGAAACAATGTTCCCTACCACCAAAGCACAATAACCAGAGGTGGATCTCCTATTATCAATACACCCGGCCCAATCAGCATCAATGTATGCCTCCAGCTTCATGTGTCCATGTTTGGCAAATAGAATACTTTTCCCTGGAGTACCTTTCAAATAACATAGAACTCTTTCTGCAGCAGCTAAATGTGTATATCTGGGAGAACGCATAAACTGACTAATAACACTCACTGCATAGGAAATATCTGGTCGAGTCATGTAGAGATATAACAACTTCCCAAGCAATCTCTGAAACACTCCCCTATCAAATAAAAGTTCACCATTTGTAGCAGAAAGCTTACGATTGGGATCAATAGGAGTGGCAACCGGTTTAGCACAAAGTTTACTAGTCTCTGCAAGGAGGTGAAGGATATATTTGCGTTGAGAAATGAAGATACCATCCTTAGATCTAGCAACTTCAATTCCCAAGAAATACCTGAGATCTCCTAAATCCTTGATCTCAAATTTAGATTTAAAAAACTTTTTGAGCTTATTGACCTCCTGGGTGTTATTACCCGTGACCACAATGTCATCAACATAAACTATCAGGAAGATCACCAAAAAGTCACTTCTTTTCAAGAATAAGGTATGGTCAAATTGAGTTTGTGTGTAACCAAATGAGACAAGAGCACCCCTAAATCTCTCAAACCAGGCCCGAAGAGACTGTTTGAGACCATAAATGGATTTCTGCAGTTTACACATCTTCCCTTACATTTCCTTTCCATACACTCCCAAAGGCAAAAACATATAGACTTTTTCATGTAAATCTCCATTCAATAAGGCATTTTTAACATCAAACTAGTGGAGAGGCCAATCAAAAGTAGCAGCTAGGGGCAACACAATCCGGACTGAGGTCATCTTGGCCACAGGAGCAAGGGTCTCAAGATAGTCAATACCATACATCTGAGTGTAGCCTTTAGCAACCAATTTGGCCTTAAACCACTCAATAGAGCCATCAGAATGATATTGAATGGCAAATACCCATTTACAACCCACTGGTTCCTTCCCTTCTGGCAAAACCACAATATCCCATATATGGTTCTTATGCAAAGCATTCAATTCAGCCATCATAGCATCCCTCCATTCAGGTTTAGATAGGGCTCCTGGTACAGACTTGGGTATCACATGGGAAGAAACATAAGCAAGAAAAGAGTAGTAGGTAAAGGATAGAAGGATAATAGGATAGGTGTTTAGAGATACAATGGGTTGTACACTTCCGCTTGCCCTTGCGAAGAGCAATAGGAAGATCAAGGTCTGGAAAAGAAGTAGATGGGTCAAAGGAAGGTTGACAAGTTACCTCAGTAATGATGGGAGGATTAAGAGGCTCTTCTGTAGGATGGAAACAACTTGCCCATGCCTAAATCTATGTCTTTGGTACCATCTATGGAGAACAAGATGTGGAGGAATTATAGGAAGATGAGGTGGAGGAGTAGGAATACTAGAGGTAGGTCCAGTGGGAGAAGTGGGCACCTCATCAGATGACTCAAAAGGAACAGGAAGAGGAACTACTGGAGACATAGCAAAGGGTTCCTCAGATTGCTCCCCCTCAAGAGGAATACTAAAGAAAGGAGTAGACTCAGCAAATGTGACGTCCCGAAATACAAAGCGGGTGCCACTAACCATATCAAAACAACAATATCCCTTCTGTGTGGAGGCATATCCTAGAAAAACACATTTACGAGCCTTGGGTTCAAATTTGTGCCTTTGATAGCTGTGAACATGTACATAACAGTGTCAACACTCTTGCCTGAATAGAGAAAAGAACAAGAATAATCTTAGAGGTGTCCAGAATGAATGATCCCCACCTCAAGAGTCTATTATATATTAAAAGATATGTGCAATTACAAGAATGTCCATACAAAGCTGAAAGAGAAAAGAAGAACAAGATGTAAAAGTAATATACAACAGGGACTATACTAATAAAGTACATCAAGTTATAGAGTCTCCACACCCCCCCCCTCAAACTGATGCCTCGACATAAGCATCAGTTTGTCTATAAGAAAGAGATGTCGAACTACAGTCATAGCTTTGGTTAAGATATCAGCAATCTGCATGTCCGAGGCTGCATGAGGAAGCGATATAGACCCAGTAGTGAAGAGATCTCAGATAAAATGGCAGTCCACCTCGATGTGCTTGGTCCTCTCATGGAAGACTGGGTTAAATGCAATCTTGATAGCACTCGTATTGTCTGCATAGAGAGGAATAGGAGTATGAACCTAAATGCCAAGATCCATAAAGAGAGATTGTAACCAAACAATTTCATTGCAAACCGAAGACATGGCCCTATACTCTACTTCAGTAGAAGACTTGGAGACTGTTTGTTGTTTCTTACACTTCCAAGAGATGAGCAAATCACCCATAAAAACACACCACCCAGAAGTGGACCTACGAGTGTCTGGACAACCAGCCCAATCTGCATCAGCATATGCTCTCAACTGAATAGGAGAGGAGAAGAACAGTCCCTAGGAGACGGTAAGCCACAAGCCCAATTCGCTCTGCCACCTGAAATGGGCCGAAGTATCTGGGAGATAGTTTATGGGATGCCCTCTTCACCAGGGAGGTCTGTCTGTACGGTTGGAGTCGTAGATAAACCCAATCCACAACTGACAACTCTAATTCTTGATGCTTCTTATCATAGGCTAATTTCATTCGTTGTCGGGCTTGTTGCAAGTGGAATTCGAGGAGATTGAGTGTACTATCTATTGCTTGCAACTGTGCCTCCACCGAAGTACCTGGCTCATACAGCAGAATGGAAGGAGGTTCATAACCGTACAACACCTTAAAGGGTGTCGTTCCAGCTGAAACCTGGAACGTGGTAATTATACCAATATTCAGCCCAGGGCAGCCACTGGGCCCACTGTTTGGACCTGTCACCCACAAAACATCTCAAGTATGTCTCCATAGTTTTCAAGGCATCTAGGCGATTCTAGGCAACACTGGGGCGCCTAGTCGCCTAGGTGGGTGCCTAGGCGATAAAAATTTTATAATATAAAAATCTGACTTTTGCTAGTTTCCTAGTTTTATATACCACACAACATGTATGTTAATTGAAAAAATGACAATTCTATTTATTAAGAACATTAAATTTCCTCTAAAAATGTGGAAAATCATCACATCTAAAAGATAAAAATCTTTTACATATATTAATTTTAAAAATAATACTACTATAATAAGTATTTAATAGAGAAAATTGATATTAATTAGCAGCTAAAGATGCTTATCAACTTTATATGATAAATATTCAAGATGGAAAGTAAAATAGAAAAAAAAAACAAGGATGGAGTTTCTGTTTTATTTAATTAGAGAGAGAATAGAAAAAAATAACTTTATTATTCTATTGTTTCTTTCCCCTTTCTTTTCTTTTCTTTTTTTCTTTCTTTTTCTCTTCTCAAAACCCTTTGATCTTTTAAATTTCAATAGTAAAACATTAAAACAAAGTATAATTGATATATATAGCACATAATAAAATGTATTAACACATACATTAATAAGATACAACAATATAAATGATATTATAAA